CGTGATAATTTTAGCGGACAGAGGGTGTCGCGTGGTCAGCGCAACGGATCCCCACGGCTGTTAATCTCGGTTTTCTAGACCGGAGCCGCTACTTTTCAATTCAGGTAGCTCCTCAGTTATTCTCACGAGCCTGAGTGGACCCCGTTCCAGACCCGATATTTCTCAGAAAATCTGGTAGCGCCGGGAATCGTACCCGGGACGTCTGGATCTGTAGCCAGGAACTCTGACCTGACAACCTCGCTAAAGAAACCATTAATAAATATAAGTCTAAATAAATGTAAAAGGGACTCTGCTACCCAGAGAAGGCAGGAGGAGGATGTTCTGAAGGTTGCCTAGTTGAAGGTACTATAATCGTAGCACAGAGACTGAAGAAACACGGGAAATCTCTGTCAGGATAACTGGTGTCCTGTTGAGCCTCCAATCTAGGACTACAGAGAGTGACGCTCCTTTGGTTGATTCATGAAATTATATCCGCGTTACATCTTTCTGTCTACCAGGACCTCTCGAAACGTTAAGGACTTCACAACACAACCCGCAAAGAGATGTCTTTTGTTTGGCTTCGAGCAGAATTAAAGAGAGCCAGTGACAAAATATTGACAGACTCTCGGGGTTAACAACCGGTTATTGACTTCAAATTTTTTTTCATGTATTACACAAGAAAAGCTTAAGTGAAATTAGTGTTTAACTCTTTGTTTTGTGCCCCTTGACTGGGAGCTCACTTTCCTTCGCAATTAGTACAGCAGCAGCATTTCAGATGTCATGATGGTTCTTGAGATGAGGATCCATTCCGGCCGTCAGGAAAAATAAGACAAATACTTTGATACTGACTTGTGACTTTAGCACATCAGTACTTTATACAAACCAAATATTAAAACGCACAAGAGTGGAAAGTATTTCTCCAGTTTGGAGTACACAGTTTTTCATATATGTTCTTTGGTTTTAGCCTATTTTCCTTATTTTTAAAAAATAAAAGTAGGCTTATGCTATGAGTATGAGGGGTGAGTCATAAAACTGGCCCTAGCACTGCGACGTTCAATGGTCTATTGTTCTTAGGCTTATGCTATCTCCATTCTGTCTGTCTGTGAACCTCCCTCACCATTGACTTTTGAATGCTTGACCCAGTCTTTATGAAACACGGTATGCATATCATGGCACATGAGCTCATTTCAACGGCGTACTTTATAAGTTCCTCCCACCAGTCTGTGTGTCTCTATGAATATCCCTCCTAACGTTGCTAGGCAATGGCTCGGTATACACATTCCCGCTGCAACGAACACACGACAACGAAGAACTGGCGGTGTTGTTTTCCACGTGTTCCGAGTCGTAGGCGATCAGTTCTTCCCAGAAAAATGAAAGTAGACTTGTGCACATTCCATCCTCTGTCTCTCCCCCATTACATTTTGAATGCCTGAAGGTGCGGCCGCACAGAGCGCTACGCTATGTTCGCTACGTACTCTTTGTACGCTATGTTCGCTACACCGCGTGGCCACACAGAAAGCTGTGTTTGGTACGAAACTGCTCAGTCTTGAATGAGATGTTGGCCGACAGCGTGCCGTGGGTGGGGGCCAGCGATCATTCCGACGATGAGCTTTTGCTGTTACTTTCCTTGTGTAAACCTAAAAGGAAATGGGTGCATGGCGTGAACTTAAGAAGGACAAAGTCTGGTGAATTTCATCATCTGATAAAGCAGTTACGTGAAGATGAAGTTAAATTTAAAGAATATTTCCAAACAGGGGCGGCCCGTGTATACGCACTGCGGAACTGCAGCACCCCCAATTTCCACTTGATATTATCGATAACATTTATATAATGAGTCCTTTTCTCTTTAATTCTTTCTTTATACTTGTACAATACAATATATAATCCTT